CTAAAGAAGACAATTATAATACCTGTTCATAAAAAAGTTAAAAAAACCGATCCAAGTAATTATCGCCCTATTGCCCTTTTGCCGACTGTATCAAAAATATTCGAGAAGGCCATTTGTAACCGTGTTACTAGATTTTGTGAAAAATATATTTGATGATTGTCAGAACGGCTTTCGAAAAAACCGATCCAAAGTTTTAGCAGTGTACAAATATATTAATGAAGTTGTAAAAATTTTAGATAGTAAACAATACGGTTTAGGTATCCTCTTAGACATGACGAAGGCATATGATAGGGTGCAACATAATATACTATTAAATAAATTATACGAGTTAGGTATTCGTGGCTCCGCTCATAAATGTTTTGCTTCGTACTTGAAGGATAGGCAGCAATTCGTTGAGATCGAACACTTTGATACCATTACCAAAAATATTTCATACGTGCGCTCCGATTGCAAGGTAATAAATGCATCAATACCTCAAGGAAGTGTCGTTGGATGTCTATTATTTTTGATTTACATCAATCACCTTCCTAAAGCTATGGAAGAAACGTCTGTCTTGTTTGCCGATGATATATCGCTATTAACTTCATGCCAAAACGATACTGATATTTATGAAAAACTTCATTTACTTATTACCAAAACTTCAGACTGGTGGAATGATCATAATCTAAAAATAAATTTTTCTAAAACTAAAATATTAACTTTTCATCCCCTTTTAGATGGGGATGAAAAGTTAATAAACCTCACTAAATTTAAAATTCTATTACAATGGCACAATTTTAGAATCTGTAAAAGAATTTAAATTACTCGGTATAGATATAGACACTCACTTGAATTCGAAAGCGCATGTCCATAGAGTGAGGTCTAAACTTTCGAGCTTTTCATATGCATAACGCAAAATTAAAAAAAGTACTAAACAATTTTATACAAAACGTGAAGATTTACCATGCCAATACACGTCACGACACAAAAATAAATTAGTATTGCCAACTTCCCGATTAAAACTAAACAGTTCTAGCACATTAAGTTCTTCCATAAAATTATATAATAAACTACCTGAAATATTAAAAAATGAAAATAATGACATCATATTTACAAAAAAATTAAAACAGTATCTAACTAATAAATGTTACTATAGTACTAATGAATATTTTACAAATAATACTTATATAGGTTTTACAAAATGATCACTAATTTAAATTGAATTCTATCTCAATAAATCACAATGACATTCTTATAAGTAGTTAAGTTAGTTTTTTTTAGTTAAATACGCTTCCTCTCTCCTAGCCCCTAAATTGCGTGCCCAACAGGGTCCATAATACTGGTCTCAAATTATTTTATAACATCTTATGTACATTATGGTTTAGCGATAAAAGTTTGAGTTTGAGTTTTAAATAGCATATTTATTAGAACCCATCTAGCCGTTTGACTGCACAAGGGAATAAAGAATGTAGTCATTATAACTTTACCGCTTTTACAGGCTATGCTGTACGTCAAAATACAAAATCTCCATTCACCACAAAAAAAATGCTTCGTCTTCTTAAAGAAGCATGTGCACACGTCACAAAATATGACTGAATCAATGTAGTAGAAAGGACAAAGAAAATTATAACTGAAGACTTCAGAAGAGACGTACACTTTGACAATTTCAAAATGAATTTATTGTAAGGTGAACCGATGAAGACAGTTCAACTGATGATCATTTTTCTGAATCATCCAGTGACGAAAGTGAATAAAAATGTTACGAATTCAGCGAATTTATTTATTTACCTGATCCAACCACACTTATTTATTGTTAATTTTATTCTTGACTAGCGACCCGCCTCTGCTTTGTACGGGTGCATATCAGTAGCGTGCCTACATAATATACAATGTATTATTATACGTAACCCTTTCCGAAGAAATCAGTATGTCGGGTTTTAGTTTATGTCTTGGCTTTGAAACTGGCCCAAATTTAAACTTAGTTTGGATTTATGTAATAACTGTTAAATATTACAAACTCGTACATGTATTAAAGCGATATGCCTTGAGAATCAATTTTAAACGATGTAGATACATTGTCCATTACAAACTATAAATAATAGTAATGTCTTGAGAATCGGTTTTTAAAGCAACCAATTTCTTTCCACACAAAGTATTTTTATAGCTGTCAAATCATGCTTCTAAGATTGCTAAGAGATTTAAATGTACTACTGCTTAAATGTCTTTGTTAGATTGTCACGAGTATAGTAAGAATAACACGAGAATTTTCATCTTTCTTTACAAAGATTCGGCTGAGTTTAGTTCAACAGAACTTATAGTGTTTAGTTTATGCTAGATCTCGGGCCAGGAATTTATATATTTTATAAAATGTTTTGATGGGGAAATAAAAAACAGGGACACGGAGTACATAATGACTGCTTTATTTTTCATATAAGTATTACTTTTGATAATTGTAAACATTTAATAATTAATAATTAAATACATTATAGAAGTAAACTACTATGACTTTCTAAACTTTTAACATTTGACTTAAATATGAATTTAAACTTAATAATTTAAATAAGGACACTTGTAGCAATCAGTTAAGGTGAAAGCGCCAGGGTAACCCGCGAAATTCAAATTTTCTTACGTTTTTGCAATTCGTAGGTCAGTGTCAGGTTGTATGTTTAATAAAATATGATTCGCGACCGTAACAAGTACGTATTTACAGAATCTTAGATTCCCTTGGACCATCTTGGATTTACATTTCGACAGCACTATCGGCTTCAGCCCCCTCGAAACCCATGAAAATGACACCCATGATGAAAAAATTGATACCCATTGCAGCCGCCGCCTTGGATTTACATTTCGACAGCACTATCGGCTTCAACACCTGCGAAAACCATGAAAATGACACCCATGATGAAAAAATTGATATCTATTGCAGCCGCCATCTTGGATTTACATTTCGACAGCCCTATCGGTTTCAACAACCTCGAAAACCATGAAAATGTCACCCATGACAAAAAAATTGATACTACTTAGTTTTAGTACGTACTACTATTATTTATTCTGTGCTTTTAAAATATTGTAATAAATAAAATCTCTTATTATTATTATAATCAAGTATTTAAGAAATTTGGTTATTCGAATATTGTGTATTTGTACAGCGATCTTTTTGAGCCGCTGCAAACAACCGAAACAATGTCCACTCAGGACGGCGACTGACACCGAAATGAATAAGTGAGTAAACTACTCTGTGGCTGTAGCTCCCTATTTACAGAAATAATTTACACACAAAGCTACCAAATCAACGAAAATTTCGCCATTTTGGAGCCGAAAAAAATTTATTATAGCTAATCAAAACAAAATTACACTGCCATTTACATTCAGTGGCTTCCCACATGATAGATGAAGAGATTAAAAAATAGATTGAGTTAAACAATTGATATTTTCAAAAGTTATCGTGTTTACAAGCCTTGGGGCCATGATAAATCCACACCATAAGCTACTTAAACCCCTTTTTTATTTAAAAATAGCAATTAATCGATTTAAAAAAAATATTAATAAGTTCAACAATCATTTCTCTTTCTAACTATGTGCTTTTTATATCATTTATATGTATAATATGATTGCTAGATACGATTTTATTCGATAAAACGTTGGAACCTTTATTTTTAGGCGATAGTAGAACATACCTTGCGCTTTCGCTTAAGGCATGCAATAAATATATGAAAAACTAGCTGTTCCCCGCGACAGCGCCGGCGTGTAATTTAGGGTTTCAATTATGTTGTGCGGAAACCTAATTCTTTTCCTAAAATATGAGTAGCCTAAGTTACTCCTTATAACATCAGCTATCTGCCAGTGAAAGTCCCGTCGAAATCGGTCCAGCCGTTTCGGAGATTAGCCGGAACAAACAGACAGGCAGGCAGACAAAAATTTTAAAAATTGTGTTTTTGTTATAAGTACAGTATATACTTTCATATAAATTTAGTAAAATGCTGTTATTTTGACATTAATAACAGACACTTCAATTTTATTTATTTGTATAGATAAAGCAGTCATTATGTACTCCGTGTCCCTGTTTTTTATTTCCTCATCAAAACATGTAATAAAATATATAAAATATAACTAGGTATGTTTAAACTTAGTTAAGTATCTACCTATTTATATTAAAAATGTGTCATAAAAGAAATTCCGGGGAAGCTTTCCACGGCATTAAATATTTTTTTCCAAAGATCATAGCTCGAAAATACAACTTTCAGATCTGATTCTTGGAGAGTTTTTTAAGATTATCGGTAAAATACCTGGGCTTTTATAAATTTTAATTAAAATCCAACAATGGACAGGTAGGTTCAGCTTAATCCCAGGAACATGTTATATGAATATTTTTTAATTATTTTAGAACTATTATGGTAAAAATTCAGTTAATTTTTGAAGTTATCCAATTGCGCGCACTAAACAATTTTGTAAATCTTTTTACCGCTTTCTTAACAATCATTGTTCGATAGTCCTAGTAAGTAAAATGTACATCACTAACTAACGCACACAATGACAAATCAAAATTAGTCATGCGTTTTTGGGCAATCAGGTTGTCTAATACGCCAGTATATTCTAAGTCTATGGTTTTTCCATCATCGTAGGTAGAATCTACTATAGTTATAGTCTGTGATCGTAGATCGTACATATCGGTATATATACAGTAATCTATGGTAGTTCACTTTTAAGTTGGCCAAATAATAAGAATTCAAAGCCAAGTTTAAAAAAATAATATAGAGTAGGTATGGATTTTTTCGCGCCGGCGCGAATCGAATTCGCTTTCCGTACAATTTTTTGTGGTACGTTATTCAGTTAATAATATAATATACTTTCATGATGATTTTAGAGTAGTGGACGTAAATTTACACTGCAAGTGATCGATAGGTTGTGGTTATTATGTTATCTTTTATATTGGAAGCTACTCGTGAATCGTGAAAATATTTTTTTGAGTACTTGGTGTTGTGAACTTTTGTGCCCAATATAGATTATTACATCGAATAAGAATGGGTTCAATTGTATTGAAAAGCTTATCAGTTTTATTAGGGGTGTTTTTTATATTTGTCGGTATAACTAAGCTGACACCCTTCATTTCTAAGGAATTACATAAAGATTTGGTAAGTGTATAATTTTTTATCAATAGTGTGAAAAACACGAATATTAAAAGGTCGCTAGGTGCATTAAGAATTTTTAACGAAGCGATGTGCCTAGCAAAGAATATAATCATTTACCCAGCTATTTTAGTATTTGGCCTGCCGCCTAATACCAACGTGCAGATGTCTCACTCTCAGAGTGCCGTTGTCTGCCTCGATACCGCATAATAAAACGAATTTCACAGGTCTTATAAATTGTTACTAATATGTATATATTTATTACAATATATATTACATCATAATATATATGGCAGTAGTAAATTATTTTAGCGCAATCCGTGAAAATCGTATCGTATTTAACACTGCTTTCCTGTAACTAGGTACCTATATATACGTTTAAATATATATTTATATGTTTTAGATTTTATTAAAATTAATGAAGTTATTTAAATATTTTAGGGGCTGACACTAACGATTTACGACGAGCGCCCATAATTCTCGGCTGGTTTTGTTACTGCTGAAAATAATTGCATTTATTTTCATTTACGAAGATTAATAATTATCGTGAGGAAACTGACCTGTCTAAATAACCTAAATCGCCTGGATACAGGCCTTCTCCCAAGTCTCTGTAGGGAATAAAAATTATAATGTCCTTTTATTAATTTGTTTGAACAAAAATTTCATTTAAAATTAAACAAAAACGTGGCCATTATTATTATTGTCGATGTTAACTGATATCTGTTGTAGAAGCTGCAAATCTGTAATTTGGCATAGTTATAGATATTAATTGCGCCTACGAAACTGTGAAATAAAATCTTGAATAATATTTTTATTTTGGGTACCTCCAAGGCAGGTAAAGGGAGGATGATTTTATTTACCCGTCTATTCTATCCTGTGGGGTGTTATTGAATAATAGGTCTTTCATAACTATTAGGGGAGTGGAACAACATTTTTTCGGTTCAGGGGTCGTTCGGTTATTTATTAGAGCAATGTAACACCCCCCCCCCCACCCCTCTAACAACGAAACCCCTGTTCTGAACACACAATGAAGTGAAAAGGAAAACTATCTCCGCTAAGTAGTCTTGACATGTTAACGACCAACTTATAGAATGCGTTTAGATTAGTAAAAATTTCTTTACAATTCCATATAAAATGACCTAAAACTAGCTACATTATAACTTTTTAATGTTATTGTAAACTGCAAGAAATAAATATTATTTGAAGAAAACGACTTATGCATTACTTCTATAGCTTTACTTTTTCCTTTGTGGGGTAGGCAGAGAGGATCGATCGCCAAGAGACCGATCCTGACATAGCACTTCCGCTTATATTTTAGTTAGTAGTTATTGTAGAACTCTTTCACAGTATTGATACGGCCTTCTTCATTCTTTGTACTCTTGGTCCTCTCAGAAGTGAGAGGAGGCGTGTGCCCAGCTTAACTTTTGCTTTTGGTTTACGCGAGCGACCCTTAGGGTAGTAATGGTTTACGGATAGGTTTGTGTATCTTAGAGTTCCATTGCGGGGAACTAATAGATGGATAATGAACTATGACCATTTTGTACGAATTTGGCATGTGAATTATTTTGCATAGTTGATGTTTGTAGATTGCATACTATGCAAAATCGAAACTTTTTTTTTTTTAATTCCACTCCCTATAAGTCTGCTTGGAAAATGAGTCCTTGAGTTACCATCGTCTTATTTTTAGACGTTGTAGGTCAAACCGCAAACTTACTTCATCGTTATAATCATCATCATCATTATTACAGCCTTTAACAAGTCACAAAACACGATCCTTAGCCACCTGCATCCATCCACTTCCTGCATTTCTTGCCAGGTCGTCACTATCTAGTGGGAGGATGCACTACACTTCGTCCACCGACAAGAGGCCGCCACTCGCGAACCTTTTTTCCCTATCGGTTGTCGGTTTTTCAAGCTATATAGGCTAGGCCGGCCCATTCCCACTTCAGCTTACTAATCCGTTGGGCTATGTCAGTTATTCTGGTTCTACTGCGAAAAAACTCATTAGCAGATGTAACTCTTTATAATGTACTTCATAAACACATGTTTTGGCTTACAGTTTACTACTTAATCATTTAATTTTAAGAAACCCCTAATTTTTAAGTCTATCACGCAGTGAAACCCCGAGCATCTCTCTGTAGCTCGCTGATCGACCTTGAGCTTCCTTATACGGCCAGCAGTGACGGACCACGTCTCAGATCCATAAGTCATCACTGGTTGTATACCTGCGTACAGCCCTGTTGTGAAGATATATTACAAATTTTGTACGTGGTAGAGCCATGCTGCAGCTATATTAGTATTATAGTTGTAGCACGAATGGGTCGGCTCGACCGGGGAAGGACCACGCTCTCACAGAATACCAGCGTCAAATAGCAGCTTCATGCTGCTGTGTTTCGTATGGTGAGTGTAGAGAACCGGAGACCCTTTTTACTGGAAAAGAGGCATTCCATCTTAGTCCTCACGGGTGACAACGCATCTGCATTTTTTCCCAAACGAGGATAGATGTAGATATCTATGGGCCACAGCAACCACTTACCATCAGATGGACTGTGTGCTCGTTTGTCACCCTATCCTATAAAAAAAATCATATGCATACAGTACCTGGGTAAATGAGTTTCGTTCGGAGATAGAAAAAAAATATTATTTCCTCAGGGATTACACCTAGGTATCGAGAAATAATTATAAAGTAGGATATTAAAATGTATCTACGCAGCTTCACAAACAAAACATTTTATTAATCTCAAATAATTTATTTTTGCTCAGCTGATGGGGCGTGTGAGTTAGAATATTTAAGAACAAAAAAGGAAAATTAAAAATTATAGGAATAGAAAAATTATAGAAAGTAATAATATAGTTAATAGGTTGGGGAAAAAGTTTCTTCGTATTTTGTTTGTATAAAACTCCTCTTTGGTTGTACTTGTGCTGTTTGTATCTGGCTAGTTTTAATATCAATACATATAGGACATTAAGAAAAAGAAAACTAAAAAGTAAAAAAGACTTTCCCGCCATTTTTCAATTGTTTTGAAATGAGTTGATCTTTTCTTTACTCATGTGACCTAACGAAGAAATTCGATACATTCTGAATTTTATTACAAAAAAAAAGGAAAAAAGCAACTCAAGCCGTGAAAAAAATTTGTGACATTTATGGACCCAATGCAATGTCAGCAAGAGAAGCACAAATTTGATTCAAGCTGTTTTTTTAGATGCATTTTGGAAAAAGTGGAGCAAGATCGGCATATTAGTAGTTACGACATAGCCAAGGAAATGGGCTATATAAAAAAGATTGATATTAGGGGTACACGAGCTGGCTGAAAGAATACCAATGAATTGTGTACTCATTTGCGATTCTCTATTGAAACGTAATGAAACCGAACCATTTTTGAAAAGATTGATCACTGGTGATGAAAAGTGGAACACCTACGACAAGAACGTGCAAAAAGATCATGGTCAAAAGGTAGTCAAGCTCCACAGACTGTCTCATTAGACTCAAGAAAGAAATTGAGAAAAAACGGATGTAACTGATCAACAGAAAAGGAGTCGTCTTTCATCATGATATCGCCAGACACATCTTTGGCCAGTCAGCAGAAATTGAGAGAACTTGGTTGGGAAGTGTTAATGTATCCACAGTCTTGACATTGCTCCCTCAGATTTTCACCTGTTTCGGTCTCTTCAGAATTCTTTGGTTAGTGTTAGGTTAACATCAAGAGAGTACTGTCAAAATTACTTGTCGCATTTCTTTAATCAAAAATCCCAAGATTTCTACAGCAACGGGATTATTTTTAAACAAAAAAATAATAATTATTATGTCACTATCTACAATATGGCAATAAGTTATTGAAAAAACTGGTACATAAATATATAATTAAATGTAATTAACCTTTGAAAAAAAAATGTCTTGAATTTGTATATAAGAGAGAATTAATAAATAAAAAAGAGAAAGAATCTAAGTATATAAAATATGAAGAAACTTTTCCCAGACCTTATATATAGATACAAAAAAGAACACAGTCGCATTGAGAACCTTTTATTTCGAAGTCTGTACTCTGTAGTTACATTATCTATTTCCGCCGTCAAGCAGCAGGCGTAGGAGTATTACATTAAAGTAGAGAGTGAGTATAACTATAGGTTGTGAGGCATTTCATTTTAGTGTTTTAGTCTTCAAAGTAACGCATCTGTCGCTAACTTTAGATATGAGTAGTCGGTGGTAAGCGTTCTTATAATGTAGACGTTGGTCCAGTTAATTTAGCCGTGTTTGTTTTATTTATTACTTACCAATTTAAATTAAAAGAAAAAACTATCAAGTGCGTATAGGTTAAGCGCCCTAAAGCGGTTTGGGCAGGGGTCACTTTCAAGAAATGCCACCAAAACATGGTTTAGAGCTGCTTGACATCAGTAGTGTAGCGTGCCTTAGACGGGTCCCGTATCAAAATGTGTTGGGGGGCCCAAATGAAGAGTAAAGAATTTTCACAAAAGGAACAGAAACGCTCGCATTGAATTAAAATAATTACATATTGAATATAAGTTATTACTTACAATGAATACTCGTAGGAACTAAGCTAGCCAAACAATTCAAATCAAAATAACTATATTATACTTTTCTTGCCTTTTGTTCGGCGAATTTATTTATTAAATCATTCATAGCTGAAGACGATTTCAGTTTATTCAAAATTTTCTGCCTCAATAGACAATAGTGTCAAGTCTGATAGCCTTTCCTTCCATAGAAGTCCTTAGAGTTTTTGTTTATAGACGTTCGGGGCTCCTGTATCATTGATACGGCTGATACGGCGGTAGCAACGCTCCTGTTGACAATATAGTGGCCGGTAAGAACTAAGAATATTCATTACCCCGTTTCATTGCATAGGTGTCGCAAGATGTGACAGAGGTAAACAAAACCGGGAGATGCTCAGCAGCGTCTTATTAATGAAAACTAAAAGTAAAAAACTGCGGTTGCTAATCTGCCAGCCAAGCGGGAAAACTGCCAACTGTCAACTTTGACAAATATTACC